GCAGTCTCAAGCAAAGCTGGATTTCTCCACCCTCCCCTTTTACCACATCAGTAATCTATATATTACTCCGCATACACAATGATGTATAAATAATATTAATATATTATTATGCCATCAATCTAATGCCTTTTAATCATGTCATTCATAAAATTGAAAGAACTATGCTACAATGATAAATGGGGTTTACAAAGTTATGTTACAAAATCAAATTTATACCAATTATTTCAAAAATAGATTTTTAAATCAAGGATCCAGATTTTGCCAACACATTTTGGCACTCCACTTTTGTACACCAACTTTGTAGGAGTAGAATTATTCAAATTGAAATATTATCCCCGAAATATGGACATTCAATTATTTTAAGAAACCATACCACACGTGAATGAACCGAAGGGCTCAACTTTTTAACTATTAGTTGTAGGGGACCTATGGTTACTGGCTTCTAAGGTCACTTGCCCCATTGGAAGACATGATTTTGGGTTTGTCCATTGCAAGTGATTGACGGGGACTGCACCTCACCCTCTTTGATGGTTCCCCCATTCTAACAAACTAAAACGAATAGATACTCCGATTAAGATAATAAAATATAAAAGAAAAATTGAAATTAGTCTAGCTTAAGGCGTCATAGTTAGTTGATCACCTTTCGAATTTAATTTGTAACACTTTAATCGATCATTTCCACCCCCATCTCGATCCCAAACTCTAAATTGTCCTTTGCAAATTAGGAAAGGCAACAAGGGGTAGGAGTAGTGGGATTGAGACAAGGAATGAGAAAGAATCAAGACGGAAGCTGGAGGTTTATTAGAGGATATACGTTGTGTTGAGAAGGAGCAACACTTTTATTTTCCCTTTTTTGTCCTTTTTTCTTTCTCATTTTTATTTAGTGTCTATTACTTTATTATTCAAATTTATCATGTTATTAAACTACATTGCAATTTTTTTCGCAGTATGATGTTAAGCTACAATTATTGCTAAATAAGTTATCTCATAGATAGGGTATACTTTGTTCTTGAAAATTATGAATGTGTTGTATTGTGCGGGGCCTCCTTTTGGTAAGATCATATATCTTTACGAGTTGATATTGTTGAGTGTGACGCATTATGTGCTGCTCAGTGTGTTTAGTCTAATAATGGTTTAGTAAAATTAATATCTTATCAACGTATTAGTGTTTACTTTTTTGATCTGTATTTATGTTTTTATCGTAAATTTTGCACTTCAATTTATTATTCACAAAATAATGAAAATTTTAAGATAGAAATGCTAAGTGGAATTAGTTGGATCTCCTTCATGATATAAGTACAGGAAATCTTGAAAGACAATACATGATATGAAATCATCGTAAGATAGAAAAAAAATAAAAATAGGCGAATCGGATTTCGTCGTATCAACATTTGTATGAATTCGATAAGAAATGTTCTGTACCGGACGCTTTCACCTACGACCAAATGTCAGCCTATTAACAGTGTCAGTCAACAAGTTGGATTTATTAAATCTTGGAAGTAGGGCCAAATTTTAGTTACATCACATCAATTAGTTCATGTTTAAATGAAGCTTCAAAAATTAACTTATAAATAAGTTAGATAATAACTTTTATTACAAAAACTTAAAAATAAGTTCTTTGAAGTTTGAAGTAACTCTTACTTCACTGTCATAATAAGTAATTTTGTTTTATTATAAAAAAGAGAAAAAGAAACATATTCATTTTAAAAAGAAAATTCACTTATAAGTTTAGCCAAATATGCTCTTAATTAAACACGACTTTGATGGCACACCAATGTCATCGATACTTAAGTACCAGTGTTTATGAGATTATTATTTCTATATGCATGTGTATAAATAGACATATAAAGGCCATTGCTACCATTTGCTTAACGGCAATGAATAATTAATATGTTTGTCGCTTATTTTCCCTTAATCATCCATGGAGTTAACATTTCATTAGCCACTAATACCACTTGTTTTAAATTAATCATTCTTTTAGGTTTTACGATGTCAAGTGCAGTTTAAAATTGACTTTCGGAAAAGCAATTTTCATTGATATTTTCCTTGTACATTACTACCTTTGATAGTGCAAAGACATGTATTTTGGATGCTCTTTAATCATGTTCTAAACAATAATGTACGACAATATTAAATTTCCCCCCTTCAATTTAAGCCCCTAATTGATCCCATTAAATTAAATTACAGTACATTTCATTTTTCTCTCTCCTATTTTCAACCACACAATCTTCCATAAAATAATATTACACGTAAATCGAAATCTTTTCCTTCTTTTTCAACCACTCATTTTTCTAAAAAATGTTATTCCCTCCATTCTCATTTTCAGGTAATGGGGATCAAATTGAACGCATGCTAAACATGTATCTCTCCCTATGGTCTCATCCCACGTACACTTCTTGACTACGAGAAGCATTTGAATGTTTTTACTATGGAAATATTTATGAGGTCAAAACAACTATGAAAAGCATAAATAATACATAAACTAGTTATGAAAAGAAATCAAAACCACTATAGAAAATTAACACAATTTCAAACTTATAAGGTAAAAAATTTGATAATTAAAAGCATATTATCGAAATTAAACTACAGCTATTATCGTGATAATTAAATTTAATTACACATTGTTTGAACAAAACACTAATAAAGGATTGAGCGCATCACTGAAGTTTGAAGTAAAATAGAAGTAAAAGAATATTAACAATGAAATCCGTAACCTAAACTTCCAATTGCAACTTCTTCTCCTCCACTTTTTCTTCCAAACGGTAGGTTGAGTCCTTGTGTTCTCCTTCAAAGCTAAATTGAGAACCCCTTTTATGTCTGAAAATTGTAGTATATATAGGTCCCGAATTACCTTGAAATTTGTGCCAACAATTGTCAGAAAACCTAGAAAATCTATAAGTTCAAGGATTAATCTATTTATACAACCATGAATGAGAATCATGGTTAACAATGTATAAGTTGTCAAAAAATACTTGGTGTCAAAAACAAGTTTTTTCAAACTGTCTAATCATAATTTGACATGTTACATATTGTCAATTATGATTGTACATCAAACATGATTGTTAATTCAATCCGGTGCATATTTAGCACTTCTAGCGTCCCTCTCGTGGCCGCAAATGATGAAGCTCGAGATATCTTCTTTAGCTACACTTTTTCTGCTGTTTCATCCTTCTCCTCGTATCATGCTCATTTTCACTTCGGTCAAACTCCTAGCACTTGCACCTATCTTTTGTTTGCACTGCGCCTTGTCAAGTCTCTTCTTGTTGTTTCTCCATACTTTATCTCTGAACTCAGGGTTAAACTAAAACAACCAAGCACAACACAAATCAATAGAAAAATGAGCTCAGCGATTAACTTTCCGACAAGATTAAGGTTTATAATAAGTGTGAATCTTACAATTATCACACAACAAACGGTTAAAAGTTTTACGAGATTCTCTTAACTGGTCAGCGTGTGATGACAAGGAGTATGATTAGAGTGTATGAAGTTTAATTTTTAAACTCTTTAATGTACTCCCCGTCTTTGGATGGGTAAGCATTTTATTATGTATTATGTTTCATTTTGTTATCAATAAATAAAACATATCACCTAAAGTGAATAATTCGGAATTAATGTATTTGTTTTGTTTGTCCCAGAATTCTCATTTGCCAAACATGATAAGCGAAACAATCACAAGAAGTTTGGTAAGTAATACCAGATGAAATTAGACAATTTCACACGAATTTTGAACTTCTTTCCTTATACTCCCTCCATTTCATTTATATAGACTGATTTTCCTTACTTGCTTGTCCCAATTATATGGTCCCGTTTCTTTATTGAAAATGTTTTGTTTTATTCATTTAATTTGTCTACTTATAACCAATTTTCTCCACTTAATCTTGAAATTGTACAAATTTAAATAAAGGTAGATTAAGAATGTTTTTAACAAAAATTATTTTTTCAATAACATTAAATAAGATTTCTTAATCAATGTGAAAAACAATACTAGCATATATAAATGGGAATGAGGAGTATAATATTATCTAGACAACATATGAGTCGGTACGACCTGCCCAGTTAAGTTTCTCACAGAAAAATAGCAAATATTTATTCAACAGCCTGGACCATATGTGCTGTAGATCAGATAAGTTCTCCTATAGGCTGTTCAAGATTTTCACAATCCTTCGTGGAGAACATGGATGTCTATTCATTACACTAATGGCAATTTCTCTCTCTCTCTCTCTCATGCACAGGCACAAGAACAATTGAGTTTAGAGGCACGAGATTAACGACTTATAATTAAAATGCATCAATCTAATTAAAAGTTAAGTTCGTAGGCTTTGATCAGTCTTGTTCAGTAGTTATAATAAAGAAAAAATAGAAGGTTTTCTTTCACCTCTACCAATATATCCCTATAAAATCTTTTAAATATAGGAAATATTAGGTCTTTTTAGGGTTTAAGAGTAATATATAATTTAACTTCACAAGCTATAAATGTATGTTACTCTACATATGCGTATTTATCAATTTCAAGGTGATATCTCAAGAAGCTAGCGACAACGATTTTTTTCCTTGCTCAAGCTTAAGCACGTCTTGATAGTCCTTAAAAAATAGTTTAAAAGTTATTCTTTTTTCGACAGTATATGGTAAATTTAAGATTGACCACATGAATTCTTTTCGCTACATTAAATTTATTGGAAGGTCTAAAATATTTAAATCGAAAAGCAAATACATGAAATGATATGATGAAAATCTTGTGAAGTTCCATTCACAATAGACTTGGCCTTTCTTTGGTTTAACTAAAAAAAAAAAAAAAAAAAAAAGAATTTGATTTATGTGACCCAAAACTTTTATCATGCTTTTCAACTGTATATTTTATCAACTTTTATCAAAACTTACTAAAAATCTAATTTTAACTAAATCAAACATGTGCTTAATACTGTTTATTCAGGTGCTGCCACCAATCTTTTGGAATGCTTATCTAAATAGGTCAAACTTTCAATATTGTAACACTATTTGCATAGTGCTTGATAGTGGTCTATTTTTTTGTAAAAACTTTGGAGAGTCCCACTATCAACTAAATTTTCAATCTCTGTCACTAATGTACCCGGAAGATATATAGATTCTTTAAAACATCGTCTATGTAAAGATGCCAGGGGTAAAGTTGAAATGGCAAATTGTCTTTTCATGGTTTGTATATGCAGTAGCTTGAAAATGGGCATTATAGGACATACTACCCCGTTTTGAGCCTTATAAAAGCAGAGAACTGCATCAGATTGGCCTCGGCTTTACATCGCCTAGGTTTAGGTCGGATCGTGGCTCTGACATTGTCACGAACGTGCGAGAGGTCTCGAGAAATTCTGGCTTCAGAAGGTGAGTGTTAAGCAAGATGGAGAAGCAGGGTACGTGGATTACTAACTCATGTACTGCTTGTCTATGAAGCTCGCTAAAGGAGTTAGTCTTTCACGTGCCTGTCTTCCCCATCTTGAACACTCGACCTTAGCATCCCTAGTTCCTTACTGCGCTTGCTGGTGACTTCGTTTCCCAAAGCTAGCTTTATTTGCTGCAGGTAAATTTTTTAACAATGGCTATAGTTCATTGTGTCTAAATCAAATTTATGAATCATTTTTCCCTACTCCTTTCGCTTCATTGAGAACCTATAGCTCGGAAAACTCCTCCCGGGGGGAGGGAGTCCATCCCTTGTCAAAGATGTGATTGGATGCTAGATCTACTTCACTGATGGATCAACATGGATAGAAGATAAACATGGATCGAGTGGGCTAAATCCTGATCAGATATTTCGACAAAGCTTTGGTGAAATTAACACGTGAATATAGTATAAAGTAAGGTGCAGCAGTCACAATCCAGTTGGTAAGGTCTTCATTGAAACTTGACAATTTCTTTTACCTTAATCTTCTAATTATTTGAATGGAATGGCTCTTGATGCAGTAACATTAAGTAGTAAACATTTGTATTATTAATCCATATCTCTATATCAATTGAGATGTATGGCTGAGGGATCTCCATTTCCATTGATCACTAAACCGTGTTTCCTTCGTCAAAAGGCTTAGGCGGTTAGTATAATCATATAGTTCTTCACTGACAGTCATTATCCCATGATACATACTGGAATCAAAATAAACCACAATGCAATATAGAGGCATCGGCGAATTGGGACATGATGAAGAAGAAAAAAGGTCAAGTTTTTTGTCCAACTTCATGTTCAGTTCATCATACCAAACGCAAACAGTTTGGCCTTTACCCTAACTTGTTATTAAACTATAATTGCATTCCAGTGTCCAAAAATAAGTAGAGGCGCATTCGCTCTGACACTTATGATTGATATGGATGGGCCAGGAACCAACAGCAAACATTTCTGCAGCTGCTGGAGGTACTAAGGCCTATTTGGAGATACTTGTAAATGAAATAATATTTTTGTCCAATTTGATTAGCAGGTCATGTTCTTGTCCCCCGTTCCCCATCTTTCTTCTGTTTTATCATGAAACTACGGTGTCCGTGATGCGTAGTCATCTAGTATTGTAATAAATCAATAGAAACTAGATCGATATTCGTTTGGAATCAATGAGGTTTTGGCAACATGTCCGTTCATCATTTCTAAGCTTCCATCGTTCGTCACTTGTTCAGTTCAAGATTTTCTGCTAGGCCATCATTTCTAGGAGAGTATGTTTTTATTTTCTAGATAATTCACTTTTCTCTTTCTCTCTCATCTACTCTCATTCTCTAATCTGCCTACCAATAATGAATAAACAAATATAACATTTTCTACGTTGAAAATAAAATCAATCAAACACATTTAGTTGACAATTTTCAGGCAAATAATTTTCAGACAATTCAATTACTTAAAATTTATTTTTTTAAGGTAAATTTTATATTTGCAATCAAACACATCCAAACTGTATATAAGGTTGAAAATCTAAGGGTTCGTTTGATTGGAAAGATGGAATTGAATTGAATTGAAAACGAATTCTAAAAAATTGAATTGCCTAGAAATTGTTTTCCTGGGAATTGTAAATTATTGTGTTTGATTGTTATAATTTTTCACGTGGAAAATATTAAAATAAAAGTATTTTTTTGGTATTCGTTTGGCTTTATTTTACATGAAAATAATCAATTAAAGAGATAGATTTTACTAGTATTGGGAATGGAATTTGTTTCAATTGCCAACAAAAAAATAAAAAAAATCAAGAAAATCATCTATCTTTTGGCGTTCGTTTGATTTTGTTTTATATGAAAATTGTTAATTTAAGGAATATTCTCTTTTACAATTGTTCCTAAAATTTGTTTCAATTGTAAATAAAAAAAAAAAGAAAAAGAAAATGGAAAAAGCTGGAATTGTAATTCCCACCATTTTAGTGGGAATTGATTTTCATCAAAAAGCAAGAAAATGCTTATGTGGCATGGGTTTATGAAAAATATTTTCCTTGAAAAATTTCTACCTTCAAACATGTCAAAAAATAAGAAATAAAATTTAATTTTCATTTTCCATGAAAAATGAAGGCATATCAAACATGGCCTAACAATAACATTATACCTTAATAGGCATGCCTCTAATTATAACGGATTGGATTGAAACGTGTCTCCATCTGATTAGGGAGCATGGATTTCCCTGTTCTCTCACTCTCTCCTAAATATCAATAGCTAGTATAGGGACATGGGAGCATGGATATGGTGCGTGATTGAACACAGGACGCCGGATGTAAAGACCATCAATATCAAGGATAAATATCTCACGAGATCACTTGGATAAGGACAAGCATACGTGTCTATACAATTGCCATAGTATAAAGCCTGCGACCTACTCCCTCGCAACATTTACATCGCTAGTCGACATTTTTAAGAGAGGATGGCTTGATCGATTATTTTATTAGATCAATTATCAAAATTACTTCGAAAAACACACATGAACGATAACGTATAATATTCATATCATGTGTCTGCTTAAGCAATCATTGTCTTAATGGTTTCACCCTTTGTTGTCATTCTAATGTGGATAAGATGGAAAGCATCGATGATCATATATTGATGATGTTACGAAGACAACAACATCAAAGTATTGTTGAAAAAGAGTTGATTAAAAAATGATCATAGGGCTATTTTTAGTCAATATTTTAGTTACCGCGTAAGTAGTTTTTAGAGAGAGAGTGTGAAAAACAATTGCTTTTGTGATAAGATGAAAGTAACGCGAAATTAGGTCGAAAATGCCCCGTTGGTTGCGGTAATTGGAAGTGAAATGAAGTTGATGTCTCATGTCAAAATAGTGCTTTATAATTATTTAGTTAGATTTTTTATTTTGGGTCTTAAGTAGATTCGCGTTAATGTGTAGGTTGAAGAGGGCATGCAACTGAAAGTTCAAGCTAAAGTTCACACACGATGGCCATCGATTGGGTTCGTGTACTGTTGCCTGATAAGGTTCCGTAATTACAACTTTATAACCATTAAGAGAATTGAACTTTGTATCCCGTGATATTATTTCCAAATTACAGTTGTGAGGAAGAAAATAGAGTCAGACTCTGATTTCGTTAAAATCTGAATATTTAACAATTAAATACATCAAATTCTCTACCAACTTTATCATAAATAAATAATTTAAAATTCTATAGATACACGAAAAAGTCAGAGTTGTTAACAATTTGGAGGAGACATGGAAAAGTGGTAGAATTTTGTTTTATTATATGCATTCACACTTTAGGAACATTTTAGTCTTGTTTCTTAACTGCAACATTACCTTTTTGGTAAATGTTTACTCCCCGTGTTAAGTTGGTCATCAAAAGGCGACACGTGAAAGCTCCACTAACGTCATCAGAAGAATTAGCTCCAAAACATACGAAAAAAGTGAAGTAATAAGGTTATGAAGGCTACAAGAGCCGAAGTCCTTGTTCGAGCCAAAGTGCCACTCAATAGAACATATGTCAAGGCCCCGACGAAGGGTCTATGCCGAGCCCCTATGTTTACCACCAACCGAAGTCCTAAAAGATGAGGCTGAAGCCTTAAGAGACGAAGAAGCTACCTATCTGCCGACCTGACAAATATCTTCATGAAAGATTGACTGGATGTTCACTTTATCTTATGTTAGGTATCCTAGCCTAAAAATATAAGGCAGTTGACTCTTTGGCAATGTAAAAAATGCATATGTAAGAAAGATGCGATGTATAAAAGAAGGAGTTAGGGGCACGCGGCTCAGATCCAACGACCACAACGTCTTCCCCAAACTCTATAAATACCCTCCCTTTATAGAAGAAAAAGAGAGATGTGAGGAATAATAAAAACAACACATATAGAGAAAAAGGAGAGAAAACCTGACAAAAAGAATAGGGAGCGGGTATACTAATTTTTGGCACATTTTGGAGAGGAAAATAAATACAATCCCGTACATTTCTTACCATTTGATCGTGTCCTTTTTTACTCTTTTTTATCATTTACTTGCAAGAGTTGTGATTGTGCTTGGATGAGATTATCATTGCCCGTTCGCAAGCTTTCTAGTCATTTTGTCGGTGCCTGAAGCCTGAACTATTTCGTCTCATGTCGAAGGAGCATCTCCTGCGCCATTACACCGTTTGATCAAATCAATATCAAAATACATCGAAATTTGCCTACGTGGATGCGAGTGAGCCCGACATCTGTTGGTGTCATTTTTGAGGGCCAACAGATTGATGCCGTTTGTAAGAAGTTTGGAATAGCTAAACCACGAGTGCCTCGTGGAATAAAGTCTTTGAACAAAAGGCAACGTTCTTGAAAAAGAGTGGTTAAATCCTTGAATAAAGGAAAGCAATCCCATGAATAGAGCCAAAAAGTGGTTATTTGTCGATGAAGTGCAACCATGAGTTTGACAGAGGACGAAACTACACCTAGGCGGACTAGAGAACGCTTTGGTGAGAAAATGTCCTCGCAAAGAGTCCCAATAACTTAAGAGCCATGGCTAGCTAATCTAGCATATCGCCATTGAAGAAGTAGCTCGAGAAGCAGGCCTAGGCTAGCGGCTAGACTCATTAGGGAACTAGCCATTGTCGTCGTGAACGTGAGGGTCATCTCTCGATAAAATGCTGCAATGTAAGAACTGCTAAGGCATGTGCAAGGTCAATTGGCCACTAAAAAAGCAATGAGGAGGTTGTGCCACCAAAAAAAGATGCGGATGTGGATATGGATGCCAACTACGCTACCAACTAAATGGCTAAGGAGGTTGTCCCCGTTAGAATATAGCAAGGCAATCATGCCAAGGAGGCCGATCAGTGTCTTTGATAGACTTGGTCCTACAAGAAACAAGCAAAATCGACCCCTCATTTTGACTGCTCAAACTAGATCCTTTCCTATCCCCTTGAGCCGTCCATACGTGTCCAACCTCCCATCATTGGAAAGTCAGCATGGACAACCTCAATCGAAGCCGTAGCTGAACTTGCCCATCGATACATATATCCTTTGTCTAGGAATAGGTGTGAGAGATGAGCTGCACTAGCTCGGATGCAGGCCAACCAAGGTTAACCACGCAAGGAGAAAAATACAAGCCTAGAGGAATGTGCCTCCAAAAAATCAGCTATTTCGAGCAAAGCCCTCTTGCGAAAAGATGCGCTGAGACACATAACAGCCAGTTCGAATTTCGTAACCTCGATAGATATGAGCTGACCTTCGCAGCAGATCAATGAACCAAGGGTACAAGCCTCATAGAAAAATGATATGGTGTATTTCCCATCCTATCTAAAAAATATGGTTAGGGGACGAAAGTCTTAAGAACTACATCTATAAAAAGGACGAAAGGCCTAGGCTAAGAAGATGAGCTCCAACTTTGGCCATCTCAGGCTAAATCCTCTTACGAAAAGAGGTGCTGAGGTATATAATTGTCGAGGCAGGCCTTATAGCGTCAGCCAATAAGAGTTGACCTCTCAGTAGACCAGCTGCGAAAAAAGTGCGATCTGCTGTCTTTTCTAGCCAAAGAAATTAAGGCATAAGCCTCATAGAATTATATTGTCTGTTGAAACTTTAGTTTAAAAGGTGAAGACCGACCCTCCTATTGTTGATGGGTTGAAGACTTCGACCCCATTTAAAGAAGGCAAAAAGAGGAGTGTCTAAATAGGTCAAAGAAGGCATGGCCCCACCTTATGTATGGTCTCAAATCGAACAATGTACTTGAAAAAAGTCTATTCAAAGAAGAAAGGAAGAAGAAACTACCTCAGTAGAGCTGCCCTATATAGAAAGGGATAAGGGAGGACCCTATGGGGACTACCCCATGGATATACGAATCCCCTTTGACCAACTGTAGAGGAGGACCATGCATGAGCCATCAGCTCAGCTCATGAAATAGAAAAAAAAGCACTTACAAGTGTCAAGACTTTAGCCTGGGCAACAGGATCAACCCTCTTGCCTTAGGAAATTATACATATAGCAAGCCATAGAGCTTCAGAAAGCAGGGACCTTAGCTCCCTTCAGAATGTTTGAAGAAGACAATTTCGACCCATAACTTCAATTCCTTCAAGGCCAATGACTTAGCCTACTTCAAGGCTTCAAATAACGTCCACGATAAGTGCCTGTGTAAATCTTTATCCCCATTATGTGAATATCAATGTTTGGATTTTGGGGACTAATTAGCTTGTATGTCACAT